AAGAGCACTGGGCATGTTTTCCTGTTGCACAATAGCAGCAGGTATCATCATGCAGGCAACGTATTCTTCTGGCATCTTGTATTTTAGCTTAAAATTGTAGTAATGGTTGCTGAAGTTCCTCTCTATATCATATTAAATCACAGCTAATCACACATAGGAGAAAGTTGTGGTGAGTTTGTTCTAACCACAATTCCCCTTTAACTTGTGGTAAATTAATTAACTGTGGCCGCATTTCCTTGGGGTAGACTCTTATAAACTGAATGAGGACAGTTGTGGTCAGCAGTTTCTAAGAAAATTCTTGCAGTGAGGGGAAACTAATATAATGTTGAAGCCAATTATGTCTTCTATTTCTGTATGTAGCTTAATTTTCTTGGGGTTAAAATTACTACCGTATAAAAGCATAGATCTGTTTATTGGATTTAGAGGATTTAAACAACTTTTGAGTATTCTCTATCTGGAAAGCCCTGAAGGGGGTTGCCATAAGACTGACTTGGCGGCACATGATTATTTAAGAGAATCTTGCGCTGGTTTTCAACTCATGACAAGCCATGATTTTTAATGAGTTGAAATCCACACCGATTGCTTTATCATGATGGGAATGGTCCATAGTCAGCCTTGGCCTCATATACATGATTTTTAATGAGTTGAAATCCACACCTACGGTATTGCTTTATCGTGATGGGAATGGTCCATAGTCAGCCTTGGCCTCATATACTCTACACCCCACCTTTCCTTTCCTTTCTGTCTTCTCTGGCTGCAACAGAGGAAACATTTGTTTCTTTTGTTAACTGCAACTGGATGTTGCCTCCAGACTCCAAACAGTTATGAGATTTAACCATGGTTTGTTTGTGAAATGCGGGTTTTTTAACTGAAGGTTTGCCCCATCTGCCTTGGCTGCAAATGCTAACAAACCAAAAACCACACTTGACACTGCCCTTCAGTTCATTTCACTGTGCTTTTCACATCTGTTGACACATACTCAGCTGATTTAGAGCCGATGGAAGGAAAATGTCAGCCCCTTTAAAGTGTGTGTGTGTAGCACATGGTGATGCTGCGAGACCTCTAAAGCAGTGGTCCCCAACCTTGGGCCTCCAGATGTTTTTGGACTACACCTCCCAGAAGCCTTCACGACCACCTCTGCTGGCCAGGATTTCTGGGAGTTGAAGTCCAAGAACATCTGGAGGCCCAAGGTTGAGGATCACTGCTCTAAAGGATATAGTCATTGTGTTTGTGTCTGCCATTGTGTCTGCCTTGTGGTAGTGGCAGTTGGTATCTGTTGTGGTTGGTAGAGTGGAAAGCAGAACAATCAGTGATAGGAGCCAGGAGTGAGAGGAAGAAATGAAGAAAAATGATGGCATTTATACACATGCATGCAGACACAGAAAGAGAGTTGTCCCCTTTTCCCTTATGTGTACCTCATTTGTTCACATCACAGCTCATTCGGGGAATCAGAAAAACACACTTTGCTCCAAAATGAAAAATGTCCCTTCATGCTTCTGATTTCTTCTGTGGTGGCTTCAAAACTGGCCAGTTGTCCCAGTTACTTGCCTTTCTACTCTCATTTTCCTTCTCTCCTTCCCATCTGCACCCACCCACTCACACAGAGTATGAGGTCTGGCATTCAGCCAGAAGGAGCACAGGCAGGGTCTTGACCTTCCACTCAGGGGAGCAAATGGCCAGAAGTGGGTGATGTGAGATGTAGTGGGCCAGTGCCCCACAGTCTCTTATAGATCATCCTCCACTGCCGTGCTGCCATTTCATTAGAATGGGATGAAATCCTGTGATGAGGCCCTGGGGAACATAGCTTTACTCCAAGTAATTTATGTATTGACTAGAGTCTTGTGTTGCACGTTGAGGATATTGCGGGTTGGAGCTGTTAGATCAATGCCCATTGTTACCTCTGAATTCCCTCATTTAATTGTTTTATTGTGTTCCATTTATTCTTCTGAATTCCACTTTGTCTGTTAGGTGACCAAGTGCACTCCACTATTCCTATTTAAAGGGCTTATGCTGGAGCAAAGCTTAGTACTATTAGATAGCACTTATTTCCTGAACCTTGTAGTTTCAGTATGTTCTAGGCAGCCTCAGTTTTGCTTGCTAATTAGATGAGTTAAAGTTTATAATGAGAACAGTCGATAGAAGACAGAATGAAAAACAACCCCTTTATATTTAGACTACTTTAGCAATCTGCCAACATTACGAAGATAAAAGATACCTAATAGATATAATTGTTAATGATTTTGCAAATGGTATAATCTATTAATGTGAGCTACTTTGTGAGCCAAAATGATTCTCGGAAGCAGAACCATGATCCTGACAGGTAAATAAAAGGAATGAAAATGTAAGTCCTTTGTCTTTGAGTCACATAAGATTTGCCTTGATTCCTATTATAGTTTTCTTGTTACGTTTAAATAAAAAAAAGTCTGTGTTTGCATTTGACACTTTTACATTTCCTTGAAGTCACCCCCTCCTTTTTTTGTTCAGCAGTAGAGAACATTTCTCTAGCAGTGGAATGGAATTTTCTACATGTAGTATATCCATTTTGATAATTGTCCCAGCATGATTCTGTGAAGTTTTTAAAAATTATTGTTTAAAGTGATGAGCACATTAATGGTTTAGATTTCTAAGTAGAACTTTTAGAAATTCCTCCTGTGTCAAAGAAGATATTATACTTTTTCAATAACCAACATTAATTTTTTAAAAAGTTTGAAAAGAGTTTTTGCTTGTGCAAAGCTGGCTGGATAGCTCAATGATTATGCTGGCTACAAAGCCAGAGCCTGGGAGTTCAGTTCCCCACTGAACATCCCAGATGAGTCAACCTATGTGGCCTTGGGCAAACTGCAGTGTCTCAGGATACCCCCCAGAAGAAGGGAACATTAAACCACTTCTCAATACTCTCTTCTTAGAAAATCCTTAAAAAAACCCCCAGAACTCAGAATTGACTTGAGAGCACATAATCATATCATGTTTGAGCAAAGCTTGATATTTTCAAATCAGAATTGACTTGAGAGCACATAATCATAATCATGTTTGAGCAAAGCTTGTTATTTTCAAAATCGTGTCTGTGTGTGTGTGTGTGTGTATGTGTGTGTGTGTGTGTTCATTTAACAGCAAGAACACAACATGCATTCAAATAAAGAATATATGTAATTTCTCTGTATGTATGTGTTAGCAAAACAGAAAAGTAGAGTTGTGTCTAGATGGGCAGAGTATAAATTTAATAAATAAATAAAAATAAAATAAAGCCTAATTTAGAAGTAAAATACAGAACTTTCAGTTTGTTCATTCAAAAGTCTTCTTTCTAAAGTTCTACAAAGTTCCAAGTTCTATATGTGAATGTTTTCTTTTTTAATACGGAAATATTAAACTGTTTACCAAAACAGTTTAAGATGGATATATTACAAAACCGTCTACAATAAAACAATAAAAGAATTAGGAAACAAAACGAAATAGTTGTTAACATGCACTGTCAACGCATTACATAGTTATGCTTACATAATTGACTTCTGTGTAATGTTCAGGCCAATGAAAGATGAATATGTGTAAAAGAAACTGAATTAAGCATGACATAAGAGTCGAAAAATTATGAGTTCACATATTAACAGTGGGGACAAGTATTGTCTGCTTAATTTTGTCTCATCAGAAAGACTGAAATGATAAGCCTTCTGTTTGGAAAGCAGGTTGGGAATCTTTCTTGTTTTAAACAGAAGATCCAGTCACCCCGTGGGCATAGAAAAAGTAGGCAATAAAGATGTAAGAAGAAAATTTATTAACTTGGTTCATTCCTGTTATGAAAAGGAGACTAGTCTGCTGTCTGAAGTTATAATTTTCAGAACACAATGACAATCAATCACAAGGTATCCTGCAGATCCTCATAAATATCTGTACAGGAGGCTTTTCTATTCCCCCCCCCCTCTCTCTCTCTCTCTCTCTCTCTCACACACACACACACACACACACACACACACTCCATAAATTCGTGGCACAATCTTCTTCCTTGTCCTTGGTCCATCCTTTCTCAGTGGGGCTTGTTGACCAGAGAAGAGAACAGCCGGGGGTTATTTTCAGCACAGGCAACAGTTTCAGTGACATTCTTCACAAAGCTTCCTCGAGAATCATTATACTGTGTATTGATGGTATTCCTGGTGAAAAGGTGGTAATTCCTACAAGCAGTGCTAATTTCAGAATTTGGAGAGTATTTTGGAAGGTGCATGAAGAAGGGCTTCCTTGGTTGGAGGGATCAAGATGTGCAAAATGGTATTTTGTTCATGCTTCCTGAGATCTTGAATGTTCTGAAGAAATACTGAATGGTCGAGGTGGTGCAGGTGGCAAACATCCCACATTCAGATTCCTTGGATCAGTCACTGCATTATTAGTCTTTGGACTTTGAGGGTCAGGTTGACCTAGAGCCACCTTATTGTTCAGAAAACGAACACACATGGGAGAGGTTCAGGAGTATGATAGCAATTCATGCGTCCTATGTGTGTTGACACCACCATCAGGTCCCTACGTGTGATCAGCATCAATTCTTTTTGTCTAGTTTCCACATGGAGACCAATGTATTTATACCTTCAATATAGAGAAGAGTTAGAGATATGGTTGAAGAATGCGGAAAATTAAAGGCTGGATTTTAAAAAAACATACCCCACAGTCTACATAACTTTTTTCGTAATTTAGAATGAGAAGTTAGTTGCCACAGAGTAAACTGAAATTAATGCACAGAATTATAGTCCATTTTACTAAGCACCCTTTTCCATTTAGCTGATCACAAGGCATCTTTTTTTGAGGTTTTAGAAATAATTAGTCCTGTACCAGTGCATCATGTTTCTCTAAAAGGTAATACAAAATATCATACATATTTAAAATAAATGGTGCAAAACATGACAGAGAAACCAAACTCTGGCAAAAATACCCCAGTGATATATAAATGGTGCATTTCTTTGGCTAGTAAAAAATGAACTTGCTGTTTATGTGAATTATTTTATCTCTCTTTCTCATAGGGAGAAACTGTCTGTGGCTCAGTTACAGCAGGAAGTTGCACGAAGTAAGAGTGACGGAACAATGGTAAGTTTCAGTAATCATTAGTTTTGCATTTTCAGTTCTCCTCATCCTATTTAGGCACCACACACCCTTGGTTTTTTAAGAAATGTCACCAAACATATAAACAGTCAGTTTTATTAATCTGTATCTCTATCTGAAGCACCACAGTACAGTTAATAAATATATCAGATACTTTTTTACCCACTTATGGGCAATATATAGAGCATAGGGGGCAGCTAACATCAGATCTTCCATGGTACATTGTTGAGGGACACAGATTACACTGATATAGATGTAACATTGCCTGTTCTTCTCTGGACTCATAAAAGAATGTGTTGGTGTGGGAACTCCCATTGTCTTAGGTTCACTTTAGTTCCACCAGTTCCTGTGTGTAGCCTAGTGACTTCCAAGTACAGTGTACCCTTGACTTACAGACGGCTTGACTTACAGACTTTTTGAGTTACAGACTTCTCTGGCCGCAAAATTTAGGTTTGACTTGCAGACTGAGATTTGACTTACAGACCAGAAAAAAACCAAAATGGAACAAAAACGGCCTGTTACGGGACTAATCGGTTTTCAATGCACTGTAGGTCAATGGAGACTTGACTTACAGACTTTCTTAGGTTCACTTTAGTTCCACCAGTTCCCGTGTGTAGCCTAGTGACTTCCAAGTAATCCAGTTCTTAATGTGTTTGTGTGCCTAGACCTTTCTGGGCCTTCATCCATTTTAAAAGTTGGGAAGTTCCTTTTTTCCACATTACCCTTGAGAACCACCTTCCAATACGGATTAAGTTCTCAAGTCAAGACCCCACTGCAATCCAGTTCTTAATGTGTTTGTGTGCCTAGACCTTTCTGGGCCTTCATCCATTTTAAAAGTTGGGAAGTTCCTTTTTTCCACATTGTCCTGGCATTCTCAGCTGTTTCTTCAGGATTCACAGGTGTTCATTACTTTTTTTAATATCAAGGATGTGATTTTAATACTGCTTAGGGAGAGACTCCATCTCTGGGAATCAGGAGATGGAAAACATTATCATTCATAATACTGACTTATGGCTGATGACCTTGTGACAATTCATCCCAGTTAAATACATAAGTAGAAATTTGGGGCTGAGATTAGGTACATTTCAGCAGTAGTTATAAGAATTGATAAAGAAAACAATTATGTATTTGAATGACTGATCATGCTGATTCTTAAATCGTCTAGCTAGTTTGTTCTCACTTGTGTGTGAAATATATTATTTTGTGTTTTCAGGAAGAAGCTAAAATTGATATTAACATCAGTGGCTTAATACTGACTGTGTTTTTAACAAAACATCTTGCATTTACCTTTTGTACAGTGGCTTTGTGATGGTTAAGCCTGCTTATACTAAGTTGAAGGGATCTTTGTCTGTATGAAATGGACTAGTAATCCTAGATTAGGATTTAGTGGTAGATTGTGAACCTGAGTGATCCCCTTTTTTGCTGAAGGACCAGGAAGAACAATTAACCAGGATTCAGTTCCCACAATTTGTGGCTTGTTGCTGTATACAAACCAGACATTATTCGTAATCTCTGGTTTATTTAGCAAATAGCAGAGAATTGTTTGTAGCTGAATTGTTTAGCAATTCAACATTGTTTGTTTTAAAGCATATTTCCTGGTTCAAATGTAACAACAAGGCTTGCAGACATGGACATTAAGTTCCAGGGAGGTCCTCCTTTCGACCATTTGGAATGAAAACCAAGTGAGAGGACCGAACAGGTCCAAGTTTTCAAAGATCTCAGGCTGAAACAAACATGCCCAAAACTTCATATTTGGATTCACTCCTTTTAGAAGCAGTTAAGGAAAATTTAAAGGGATTAAACAGCATCCCCATCACGCACACACAATGTTTTTTGTCTCATCTGTCTCATCTATGTACAAAATTGCATAGAAAGATCCAACCATAATGTCTTTAATTACCCAGTAATCTTAGTCTCTGTGTTATCTAAGCTTTTCTCAAAGGAGGGCCTATTGGGAAACCAACCAGTAAACCAACCAGTTCAGCAAAGCAAGGAATTTCTTTACAGCGATAAATCCAGTGACAGTCCTTGCTCCCCCTAAGCCAGTGTTGCTTTTAACTCCCCTCAAACCCCTGTGACAACAGAGGTCCTCTTTGCTGTAGGAAACCAGTGGTAGAGCTCCCAGCCACTTACTTGCCTTACATGCAGATGTTTTGTATTTATTCCAACATATTTTAACTTATGTAAAGAATTGCTTATAGCCTTTTTTATTTAAACATTTCACCACTAAATAATTTAGAATAAATTAAAACAAATACAAGATAAGCTGAGAAAGCATCTGCTGTTGATTTAAAACAGTGGATTGTGTCATTGATTTTTCCCCCCCCGTGGCTCCCCCCCCTTTTGGTGGTCTCTGTGTGTGTGTGTGTGTGTTTGTGTTTTGGGAGTGGTGGTCTCTGGACTGCTGACTGCTCAGATTGGAATTCCAGATTTGGAATTTGGTTTAGCTCAGTTTATCCCTCCCTGCTATTAATTCATCTGCGTCAAATGGGTACATCAATTCAGCCAGGAGACATGGTGTTCGGGACTAGGCATAGCCACTTGGAAATGCATCTGACAGCCGCATATCTGATGAGGAAGCAGTTGCATTTGTTTGTGTATTGCTGTAGTTGTGCAAGCTTCAGGCTAACATTTCAAGTTCTACATTATTTAATTGTAGTTTGAACTGAATCTTGCTCACAATGTGATCTGTGAGCGAATCACCAGAACTCACCTAAGTAAATTGCATATACTGTAAATAGAGATGGTGATGAAGCACTAAAATGGGGCTTCATCTTGGTTCATGCGTCGTCAAACTTGACGATCCACGACAATCCCCCCAGGGACCCGACAAACAACAGATCAATTCATTGGTTCATCAAGTCATTTTTTTGCAAAGGCAGCCAGGCTGGAGGGTTGCTTTGATCCCTTTCCCCCTCCTTTTCCTATGCCCCGCAGCATAGCAAGAGGAGGGAAAGCGGGACCCAAGCCATCCCATAGCCGCCCAAAAGAAAAATCCCTCTCTGCTTATGACCCCGGGGAACAGCTGATCCGCAGGGGGCATAAGCTGATAGGGAACAAAGGGATTAATATAAAGGGCTTATATTCATTGCTTTGTATTCATAGGGGTCTCTGGACCTCATGAATATGAAGCAACACATATCTGATGAACCAGGGATATTCAACAAATATCCTGATTCATTTTTATATTCATCCCAATGTCTAATTACAATTGCAATTACAACTGGCACAAAGTAACTTTGAACTAAACTAAACAGTCAAAAGAAGAATTTTAAGATGCAGCATGTTGTTGTGATGTTTCCATTGCAGAGGACTGATATGATTTCCATAACATTGAAGATTAGTGTATTAAAATGTAATGTGTTGTTGACAAGAACAGCAGAACTTAATGGTTATCAATCAGTAATTCACCATTTCAATGTGCTTTTTTCAAGCCCATATTACAGTTTACAGTGGAGGGGGACATTGGGAACAGGATCACTGTGCTGAGTTTTGTACTCCATGTCCCAGCTGAATTGACACTTTCGCCAGCGATAGGCAAATCTTTCTTTTGCAAGTAAAACATAAGGATCTGATTCATACAGTGGCTTATATCATGGGTTTTTGCAGTGTGTATGTGAGCAGAAAGGAGAGTTTCTGTTGTCAGAGAGCATGGAACCCAACTATAATATATAAGTACCGTATGTAGAGAGGTTACTCATCTTACATATTGTGTATGAGTACTTGCTTGGGTCAGTTGGGCTAAAATGATGCATCAGTTTCGGGGGGATGTCCCAGGTTACTCATCTTACATATTGTGTATGAGATTGGGTCAGTTGGGCTAAAAGGATGCATCAGTTTTGGGGGGATGTCCTCTATTTAGCTGTCATCATGCCATGAATTGACTCTAGTACACTTGCACAGTGCTTTAGGCAATTTCCCAACTTCTAGTCGTTGCTCCTTGAGCAGCAGATGCTACTGCAGAAGCAGCAGCAGGATGCTAATTGCAACCAGCATCTTTCACAGTTGAGCCACTTGTGTGGCCGGAACTCAGCAAGGCTGCTAGGCTTTCTGAGACAGTATCTCTTGTTTCCCAGCCCCAAGGCAGGTGTAGTGTATCCTTCCACTCCTGATGCACAGTAGTAGGTCTCATCTGAATGATGCTAAAATGAATGAATCAAGGGCTGCTATGATTTTGACTGCTGAAGATTCCCCACCTGCTTATTGTCAGCCCCACTAATAAAAACATCTACATTGTTGTCGTTTCTACTCTCAGAGATACGATGGAAATGTATTGGGGAAAGGAAAACCCAGACACCCTCTGGGCTTGATTCTGTTCTGTTTCAGCTGTGTATGTCTTGTAAATATCAAATCTCAGAAGATTCATTTTCACAAAGATGTAATGGTAAGGGGAAGGAAAGGATGCAAGGATATTATTTAGAAATGGATAAGTTTGATTTGAATGGAATTTAAAACAGAGGATGGGAAAATACTCGCGGTGGAAGGCAAGAAGTGATAAGTCCAAGGATTGATTATATTGGTGCTTGCAAACTTTAGAGATTTATAATCCAGTTTTACTTCTCATGAGGTAGAGGCTCAAGTGGATCAGTTCAGGAAACATGCAGGGCTATTTGACTCAGTCCACCTCATCTGGAATGTTGCGTCTGTGAACTGGTCCATCAGGACAGGCTTATTCCAGTCTATGCCTTGGGCCCAAAGGTGTAAGAGGAGCTGGTGTAATCAAGGAGTAGCCTTGAGTTTTGTCACAGCCAGTAGATGCTGTGGCTGGTACTCTTACTTTTGCAGGAGATTATCAAAGGCCCTCTTCAGATCACTTAAATCGAGTGTCTAAATATCTGGAGCAAAGGCAAGCAGGATGAAATACAGTGGTGCCCTGCATGACGATGATAATCTGTTCCAGGAAAATCGCTGTACAGCAAAATTGTCGTCATGCCAAAAAAAAAATCCCCATTTGAATGCATTGAAAACTGGTTAATGTGTTCCAA